GGATTGAACCCAGGGGGCTTTACCATTGAGCTACATCCCCAAGAACTTTTAATTTTTTGAGACAGGGTCTTGCTAAGTTGCTAGGGTCCTCTCTAAATTTCTGAGACTGGCCTCGAACTTGTGATCCTCTTGCCTTAGCCTCTGGAGTAGCTGGAATTATAGACAAGAGCCATGATGCCCAGCCCAACCCTTCCTCATCTTTTTTTTTTTTAAAGAATTTTATTTATTTAGTTAGTTGTAGATAGATACAATACTTTTTTTAGGTGCTGCCAAGGATTGAACCCAGTGCCTCACACACGCTAGATGCTCTACTGAGCACCAACCTGAGTGCTGGCTCCTACTACTGGCTCCACTGAGCCACAACCTCAGCGCTCCTTCTTCATCTTTTAAATGCAGATTATGTATTTCTTGGATTCCATGGCCTTTTTCTTTTCCTTTTTACATTTTAATATCTCTGAAATCAAAATTCATCTAAAACTGAAGTCATGCCATGACTTAAAAGATATGTATTTTATCTTAGCAATACATAAAAAATGTTATGTATTACAATTGATAATATCTTATATTCAATGGAATGCAGTAGTACTTATAGGATTGTCATGACATCCAAATTTACATAAAATGATTGGGACTGGGCTTGACATATTAAGGACACTCATTAAGTATTACCACTATAATCCCTGTACTTTCTACTTCTTTCTTGCCTACAGAATATAGACTTGGTCTCTGTTTACCATGGTGGTCAAAGATTTCCATCTGCAGCTCCCACTTGTTTCATCTGCTCTGCAGCCCAGAGCTATGCAAACATAGCTCTATCATGGAGATCTAACTGGAATCTTCACTCCCATTCCCTCCATCCCTCTATCTCCTTCCTCTCTGACCCTACTGCCCACTTGTGATTGCTCTCAAGTTTAATGTCAGTGCCAACTGTATTATGCACATCCTCTTCCTCCTCCTTCCTTGAATGCCCACAAACTCACTTCTTATCAGCAATCAAGTGATCTGCCTTTGTAGTAACACTCCATTGACTCTGGCTCCCTCATGTCTCTGGAACTTTCCCTATCAGCACTGCTCACCCATCCCATCCCTGAAGCCATACTGAATCACTTGCCCAAATACTTTGTTTCCTTTTGTCTGTCTTTGCCCAGGCTTGTCCCTCCACCTGGGGTACCTTTCTGATATGGTTCAGACATCACTTCTGAAAGCTGTCTCAGCTCCTGGGGCACAGTAGAGTGTCACTTCTCAGGGCATCTCTCAGCTGTGGCACCTGTTACATCAAGGTGTTGATGTTTCTTCACTTTCTTCCCTTTAGTCCTGCATTGCCCTGTGAAACCACTGCCTAAGGGTTTGTTATCTTTGTTTCCATCATGCCTGGCACATGGTGGGCACCAGAACACATCCCTGACAGTTCTAGGCCCTTCCCTTGCTCTGGTGATGCACATTCATATTCTGTCTCTCTCTTCCCTCACTCCCTTTCTTGGCAGTGATGGGGATAAAACCCAGGGCCTCATATATGATGGGCAAGCACTCTACCACTGAGCCATAATCCCTAGCCTGATATACTTTATCTGCTAAGCCCTTCATGAACAGGTAGCATTGGAAGCTGATAGGGTTTGTGTTTCTTTTCTATTTTTTAATTAATTCATTTATGTTTGCAGTACTGAGGATTGAACTCAGGGCCTCCTGCTTTGTAGTCAAGTACCTCTACCACTGAGCTACATCTCCATCCTTTTATCTATCTATCTATCTATCTATAAACCTATGAGACAAGGTCTAAGTTGCTGAGGCTGGCCTTGAACTTGCCATCCCTGACCTCAAACTTATAATCCTCTTGCCTCAATCTTCCAAGCAGCTGGGCTTACAGACATAGGCCATGACCTCTGGCACTATTTGTGTGCGTGTGTGTGTGTGTGTGTGTGTGTGTGTGTGTGTGTGTTGCTGGGGATCAAACCTGGGGTCTCATTCTACCTCTAGGCTATACCCCCGGCTCTTGTGTTTCTTTTTTGTGTACATATAGCCAACTCACTACAGAACAGTGGGCCAGGGCAGGGCTGGGTTTTCTTAATTCCTTCACCAAACAAGGGAGGACATTCTGGGTGTGGCAGTTTTTTTTTTTTTTTTTTTTAAATGCCTGCCATGGAGCGTTAAGGGTCTATGTATCCTTCCCTTAAATCTGGGCTCTGGGATAGACTGGCTAATAGAACATTGTACAAGTGACACTGTGCCATTCTCTGGGCCCAGGCCTTAAGGAACTGGCACCTTCTATTTTCCATCTTTTAGGATGCTCACTCTGGAACCCAGTCACCATTTACAAGGAAGCCCGGCTTTAGGAAGAGTCTACATGAAAGTGTTTTGGCCAAAGGCCAGCATCCATAGCCAGACACGCGAATGATGATATAACCCCCAGATGTCAGGTTACCCCCCAGACTTCCAGTTTTCCAAGTAAGGCTCCATACATAATTGAACAGAAATAAACCATCCCCATGTATCCTGTTAGGATTCCTAACCCATATCTGGGTAAAGTGGTACACGCCTATAATACCAGCAACTCAGGAGTCTGAGGCAGAATTACAAGTTTGAGGCCAGCCTCAGCAACTTATCAAGACTCTGTTCCAAAATAAAACATAAAAAAGGACTGGGGGGCTGGGGATATAGCTCAGTTGGTAAAGTGTTTGCCTTGCATGCCCAAGGTCCTGGGTTCAATCC